AGGGAAAAGTCCCCCTCGCCTCCAGTGGCAACGAGTTCCATAGTCGTCCTGCACCCCCGCTCCCTTTCAGCTTCCTGGCCTTGAGTACGGAGCCCCCGCCGACCTCTAATGCTTTGCGCACATCTGGGCTGGTGGCTGGGTCCGGCCACCGCTGGTCCTCCCCCCCCGCCCCCCCCGGAGAAGGAAATCCAGGGGAGAGACGGGGGGGGGTGAATGAGCGGAAGGTCCATTATTTAGTAGTTTTCTGCAAAAAAAAAAAGGGTGGGCTAATTAAAAGGATGATCTTAAGTGATTCTGACGTCGCGGTTCTCCAGCCGGGCAGAGCGAGGGAAGAGGTGATTCTAAAGGCAGCTTTGGCTAATTATTTACAAATAAAACACAAATAAAATGGGAAAGTAGTGGGGGGCGGGGGGAGGAAAGGAAAGGAGGGGAAGGGGGGTGGGTGAGGGAAGAGGCCGCCAATTATTAGCTGGTCTCGAGTCCCTGAGAGCGAATGAATAGTCCAGTGAAGAGAAAGGGGGAGGCACTCTTCATTCCCCCCCCCCTTTTACCAAATGAGGAGGGGGCGAGGCGAAGGGAACGACCCCTTCCTCTTTTCAAAAATGGAAGGTTTCCAAGATCTACGCTGAATATTGTTGTCAGGACGGATCGGGGAACGATTCTGGTCCTGGTTAAGAACGGGGGAGACCCCCCCCCGCCTCTAACCTGTCCCTCTCGCGGAGTCTGGGGGTGCAAAGATCCCCCCCCTTTTCCGAATCTCGACCTCTCACGGAAGACAAAGGGGTCCAGGTCACCGGGAAAAGCAAAAGACCCCCTTCCAGGCGCTGCCCTCCACAGGTTTTTTTTGGGGGGGGGTCCCCCCCTGGAGCGTCCGCCCCAGGCTTCGAAGCTCCTGCTCCGGATGGGCGGGGTGCATCCCCGGTTCTCCGTTCCTCTGGCCGCCCCAGAAGGGGAGGACAGACGGAGGGGGCATCCGAAACCCGGCAATTAGCCGCCCGGCCGTCTCCCTCGGCGGAGACCCTCCTTTTGTCTGGCTCGGCTAGGGCGGAGCGGCTCCCGGTTTGCGGCAGATGGTGGGGGCCCCGGCCGGCAAGACGCTCACCTGTCGCCTCCCAGAGGGACAGGTGGATGGGAGGGGGCGCTTCCTTCTGGGAAGGGGGGGGGAGACCTCCTTCCCCTCCCTCCCTCCCTGGAAGGAAGGCGCCAGAAGGTTGAGGGAGGCCGAGGAGGGTCTTTGCCTAACGGTCTTCTTCCCCAGCGCGGGCTGGTGGGGGGGGGTCTTTGCCCTTCAGGTGGGCCTGCAGGGCACCCCGTCTTCAGGGGGGCAGAGGAAGCCGAGCGTCCAGCCTTCGCTGCCTGCCTGGGATAAATTATAGCCTTTAAATCAGTCCACTTAACGACCGCAGAGATGGCAGGCCAGGCGAGATCGTTAACCCAGCCAGATCGTTCGCCCCCCAGATGGGGGGCGAGCAGAGGGGGGTGTCCCGGAGCTCCTGACACGTTCGGGCTTTCCCCGCACAGCCCCGGCACTTGCTCCAGGGAGCCCCATGGAAAACCGGAGCCGGGGGGGGGGAGGTCGGGAAGAGCTTATACAGCAGCCGCCCCCCCTCCAAGACGCTTCCGGGGGTGTGTGTGCCCTGCCCTGCCCCACTCTCCAGTCTTTCTCTGTGCCCCGGAGCAAGGGGATACTTCTCCCGCACTTCTTCACCGCGCTGCCCTTTACAGCCCCGGATCCAACACGATTTGGTGGAGGTGCAAAGGACTGGCCAAGCAACCCCCCCTCCCCAAATTAGAGGCCACTCCCCTATAGCAGCAGGCCTCAACCTTTTGTACACCAGGGACCGGTTCCGTGGTGGAGGGTTTTTTTCACCCCGTGGACCGGGAGAGGCTGTGGTTTTCCATATGCTGCCTGCACCTCGCTTGTTTGCGCGGACCGGTATCGTTGCAGGGCCCTGCGGTTGGGGATAATAATAATAATAATAATAGTACAGTTGGAAGGGACCGTGAAGGTCATCTAGTCCAACCCCCTGCTCAGGCAGGAAACCCTACACCATTTCGGACAAATGGCTGTCCAGTCTCTTCTTAAAAACTTCCAGTGTTGGAGCATTCACCGCTTCTGGAGGCAGGTGGTTCCACTGGTTAATTGTTCTCACTGTCAGGAAGTTTCTCCTTAGTTCTAGGTTGCTTCTCTCCTTGGTTAGTTTCCACCCGTTGCTTCTTGTCCTGCCTTCAGGCGCTTTGGAGAATAGCTTGACTCCCTCTTCTTTATGGCAACCCCTGCCCTAGAAGCAGGGCAGAACAGAGCCGGGAAGAATCTGGCGTCACTCCGGTTCCCGTTCCTCCGGCCTTGCTTGGCAGGGACCCCGGGGGGCGAGGGGTCAGGAGCAGGCTCCCGAGGGCCTCTTCCCGCCCTTTGGGCTCTTCCGGGGAAGCTCCATGGAATGGCCAGCGGAAGAGCCGGTCAGCCAGCCAGCTAGGAAGCTTTCCCGAAAGGGCTCCGAGTGAGTTTTAATCGGTCGGTCGTTGCTTCTTTCCTTCCCGGCTCCTTTCTCCTCTCCCTCCGACTCGACCTAAGCTCCGCCCAGTAGGAAGAGAGGGCGGGGCCTGCCACAGAGGGCTGGGGGCTTTCCCCTCTCCTTGGGGCCTCCGTCGTGACCTGTCGCCCCTCAAGAAGGGGAGGGGGCGTATCTGGGGTGCTGTTCCGCATTAAATGTCTGCGCCTGCGGGGGTGGGGGGACGACGACAAGGGGGCGCTGGCCCGGCCCCTTAAAGAAAGAGCCCTGAAATTCGCAAAGAGGCCACAAGAACAAGCAGCAGACCCCTCCTCTGAATCCGGCTTCAAATCGGCGTCCGACGGTGGGGAGGGAAAGGGGGGGGGACACTTTGCCTCGTGTGCTCAGGATATTCTCAAATCCTGGAAGAGGGGGGGGGCAGGGTGTCCTGGTCCTTCGGAGTCAGTCCGGACCCATGCCCAATTTTCCGCAGCCTTTGGAAGTGGTGGGCATCTCCAGGGGCTGGCGCCTAAGGGAGGACGGAACTGGGGTCCCCCCCTCCCCTCTACCCCACCCTGACCTCGTCCTAGCCGCCCCCTCGTAAAGCGGAGCATGGCTCTGGGGCCCCAGATCACCCAATGCCTTCCGCTTCCCAAAGCTGCGCCAATGCAGGGCCAGGTTTCTAAATGGAGGGGTCGGTGTGCGCGCATCCCCCCCCGGGGGGGGGCAGAAAAGCCTCTCAGCCTTCAGAACGGTAGAGCCAGGCTGCTCTTTCGACGGCCACGCCCCCTTCACTGGGGGGGGATGTCCTTCCTTCCATCCTTCCTTCCTTCTTTCCTTCCTCTTTCTTTCTTTCTCTCATTCCTTCCTCCTTCCTCCCTCCCTCCCTCTTTCTTTCTTTCCTTCCTCCATTCCTCTTTCTTTTTTCTTTCTTTCCCTCCTTCCTTCCTTCTCTCTTTTTCTTTCTTTCTTTCTTTCTTTCTTTCCTTCCTCCATTCCTTTCTTTTTTTTCTTTCTTTCTTTCCCTCCCTCCTTCCTTCCCTCTTCCTCTTTCTTTCTTTCTTTTTTTTTCTTTCTTCTTTCTTTCTTTCTTTCTTTCCTTCCTCCCTCCATTCCTCTTTCTTTTTTTCTTTCCTTCTTCCCTTCCTTGTTCTTTCTTTCCCTCCTTCCTTCCTCCTTCCTTCCTTTCCTTCCTTCTTTCCCTCTCCCATCCCTCCCTCCCTTTCTTCCTTCTTCTTTCCCTCCCTCCCTCCTTCCTTCCTAATTTCTTTCTTTCTTTCTGTCCTTCCTTCCTTCCCTCTCCCCTCCCTCCCTCCTTCCTTCCTTCCCTCCTTCTTCCTTCCTTTCGTTTTTTCCTTCCTTCCTTCCTTCCTCCCTTCCGAGACTCGTTCCCTCCCCCCCCCCCGCAGACTCTTCTCCCTGACTTAGTCTCCAACGGAGGGGAGAAGACGCCTTTTCCCTCCCAACGGGACGGGCGGGGTCTGCCTCCTCCTTTGCGGGACAGAAAGGAAGCACCCCCTCCTGGGAAGCAAAAGGGGGTGTGGGGGGTGCAGAGACCCTCCTGGACACTTTGGGAGAGATCGGAGCCGGAGGGGGGGACGGAAGGACGTCTCTGCCCCGTCCTTTCCTCGCTGACGGTTCCCGGGGGGGGGAGGAGGCCGAGGGAGCGAGCCGCGGTAGCAAAGCGGCCGCCTGGACGGCGCGGTCCGGCCGGCTACGGGCCAGGGCGGTTCCCCAGGCGGCGGGGGGAGCCTTCGCCCTTCCCCGGCCGGAGCCGGCGACCGGGCGAGCACATGGTGGACGGAGCCGGGCGGGCGGGGAGCAGCCAATGGGCGCCGGGCCCGACGTGATGTCAGAGCGGCGCTAGAAAAGGCGCGGAGCCTTGCGCGGGCTGGGACTGCGGCGGAGCCTGCCCGGAACGCGGCTCCTCCTCCCGGTCCTCCCCCTCCTCCTCTTCCTCCTCCTCCTCCTCCTCCTCCTCCAGCCTCGCCTTCCCGCCCCCTGCCTCGGTCCCCGAAGCGGCAGCCGGGCTCAGCAGCCGCCGCCACCGCCGCGCCTGCCGGAGGAAGCAGCAGCAGAGGAAGAGGCGGCGGAGGCGCAGAGGCCGGCCCCGATCCTGCCCGCCTCCCTCCCTCCTTGCGCGGATCCGGCCCGCTCGGCCCTGCCCTCCGCCCGCCGCAGCGCCTGGGCCTCTTCCAGCCCCGAGCGCCGCCGGAGGGGGGAAAGCCCAGGCGCCCGCCGTCCGTCCGTCCGTGCGCCCCGGCCTGGAGCTCGCCATGCGTTAAGACCGGCCGTCGCAGCCTTCCGTCTCTCCGCCGGCCTGGCCGGGGCGGCCTCCCCCGGCGGGCGGACCTGAAGCCAGCCCGGGGGGGGGGGGAGGACGACGGGGAAGAAGCGGAGGCGAGACGGGGCGGCCGGCGAGCCGGGCCGGGGAATGGCACCGCCGCTTCGCCGCGCGTAACCGGAGAGCCAGGAACGGCGGAGAGGCGCGGGGCCTCCGGCGCGGCCATGCTCTTCCACAGCCTGGCCGGTTCCGAGATGCGCGGCGTCATCGACCAGATGGACCGGCGGAGCAAGGCGGACGCGCCCGCCATCACTTCGGCCATCGACCGAGGCGAGACCGAAACGGTAGGCAGGTCCCGGCGGCTCCGAATTCAAGCCGGGAAAGGATTCGGGGCGAGGCCGGTTTGGTTTCTCGGCTTCTCAGCACCCCGGTTGCGGTCCACCGGCTCCCCCAAGGCCGCCTCCGACTTGGGTCGGGAAGAGGAACCGTGGCGGGGCCGCGGAACCGAGCCAGGTTCGATCCGGGCAAAGGCCAGCCAAAGCGGAGCTGTGGTTGTGCGCCGGTTTTTTAAAGAACGCCCCAAAAGTGCATTTTTGGGTTAACGAGTATATTCGCCTGTTCCTCTCTCTAGCTATTCCACCACCACCACCCCGTTGCAAAGAAATAAAATTAAATAAAATTCAGGTTTAAACTACCGCTACGGAATAGGCGAAGTTGAGCTCACCTTAAATCGACCCAGAAAAAAATGACTTCCTGGGGGTTTTATTTTATTTATGATGCTTTAGACTTTTCGTTTACAGTTTGCCCCTTCCCCAAATCGAAGCCTCTTGTCTATCTGTTGGCTTCGCCTCCCCCCCCCCCTTTGCTTTTAATGTGTTTGCTTAACCAAGTGGCCTCGGTCGGCAACATTTTAATAGAGGGATTAGCATTTATCGTTTTTTGCGCCCGTTTCTTTTTTTCCCCTTCCAGCAACCGTCTGTTTTCACCTGTTAACTAGAAAAATGAACGTCTATCCCTAAAGCGCCTTCCAGCCGTAGATAATATTAGAATTAACGACAAAAATAACAATGGCATTACGGATAGTAAACCGTTTATAAATGGACGGTGCAAAATGCTACTTAGTCGGGCATATTATTATTTCAAAGTTGAACGAAAGGGCCCTTTCCAAATATTTTTCTTCAAGCGATTTCTTGGCATTTGGGAGACGGGGAAACAGAAGAGAAACGACAATTATTTTTCCTCCGCTATTTTTCTTTTCTTTTCTTTTTACAATTATTGTTGTTATGATTTTTTTTCCCCGACGAGCCTTCTGTTTTTGCCCTTAGAAATATTTTCTGCAGAGACGCTTGGAAGAGAAAATGTCAAGAAACCAATTCACTTATTTTGCCGAGCTTCTAACCCGTTCTGGCAGGAATTAAATAACAGGACCACTTCCCGACTTCCAAATAATAAATGGATTTTCAAAAGATTCCAGCGATTTTTCCACGTTCTCATTTCAAATTAGGGGAACGGATTTTCTTTTCTTTCTTTTGTTTTGTTTTGCAGGAGAAATAAAATTAATCTAGATTTCAACATGCTTAGGGATCTCTATTTAAAAAAAAAAAAATTAAAAGCCCGTCTCGTCCATTTCTAATTCAAATAATTATTTGTCCTATTTAAAAAAGAAAAACGAGAGAAGGGAATTTTCCCTCTTCCGATACCAGCCGAAATGGGTTGAATAAATTTAACATTAGCATTTTAAAATATTTTTATAAGAAAGAGGAGGAAAGAGGAAAAAAGGAAAAAAAAATAACCAGCGTGGTTATTTAGGCAGAAAAAAAAAAAAACCCAGCTCGGATATATTCAAACTTAGATTCCGAGGAGGCGCCCAGTCTAGCGTTCCAGCCAGCAAGCCCGGGGCAAATTTCCGCGCGATGCCCGTTAGGATCTCAGCCGGAGCCGATCGCAGCCAGATGCTTTGCGCTTCCTCCGAAGTGGCTGCCTTAGCTAGCCCGTTGTGGCCTGGTGGTGGAAACGCCCGGGCTTGGCCCTGTACGAAGCGCTTTCCTTCCTCAGCTCCTGCCCGTTTAAATTTCCTTCATTTGCCCCCCCTTTTAAAAAAACAAAACAAAAAACGTGGAAATATCGGAGGAGTAACGCGAGCGGCCGTTATTTCGTTAGCAGAAGAATACTATTAGACTCGTGTTTGTTTTTTAAATATATATATTTATTAATATTATTAATATTAATTTTACTTTCTTGCAAAGAGCTGAGAAGAGAGCTAAGCTTTCGTTCCTGGGGGCGGCGGCGGCTGGGGGGGGGGGTTCCTAAACATTAGTTTCTTTAGGATTTCCCACCCCTATTTATTTTACGGGGCTTCTCCCGCCCCGCGCAGGCCTCCGCTTTGCTTTTCCCGTCCTTTCCCCCCCCTCCCCCCGTGCCACAATCCACACTGCGAGACACGCAGAGAAAAACGGGAGGCCGGGTGGGTTCAGACGACGCGGCTAGCTCGAGCTCCGAATTAAATCCCCGTTTCGGCTTCCCACCACGCGCAAAGGGCTGAATTTCCCCCCCCCCCAAAGCTGGGAATGAATACAAGCTACCCAGCTCTGACCTGGTGCCGTGTGTGGGTTGTGGGAAGGCAGCCCAGGGAGATGGAGAAAAGGATTTGGGGGCTCGCTGGCCCATCCCTTCTCACGGGAGGGGAGAAGCGCTCGGATTCAAGCAACCAACCAGTCAATCAATCAATCAGAATCGAGCTGGAAGGGACCTTGGAGGTCTTCTAGTCCATCCCCCTGCTCAAGAAAGAGACCTGATGCCATTTCAGACCAGTGGCGGTCCAGTCTCTTCTTAAAAACCTCCAGTGATGGAGCGCCCACGATTTCTGGTGGGAAGCTGTTCCACGGGTTAATTGTCCTCACTGTTAGGAAGTTTCTCCTTAATTCCAGGTTGCTTCCGTCCTTGATTAATTTCCATCCGTTGCTTCTTGTCCTGCCTTCTGGTGCTTTGGAAAATAATGTGACCCCCCCCTCCTCCTCCTTGGGGCAGCCCCTCAAATACTGGAACCCTGCTATCATGTCCTTTTTCTCTCGCTTGACCAGCCAAACCCCAATCCTGCATCCTTTCATACCCAAATCCCAACCGGTTCTGTTGGGCTGGGGTGGGGGGGAGAAAGGGGCCTCCTGGATTTACCCGTTCCCCCCCCCCCTTGCCGGATTTAGGCATTTCCCGGCCAGGCTCCCCTCCGTTCTCGCCTGGCCGGGCAGGTGAGGGAGCCGGTGGTCCCTCGCCTTAAGCGCCTCTTTCTCTCCCCCCCCCCCCGCAGCACGCCATGCCGTCGGTGAGCAACGAGCGGGCCGCCCTGTGCGCCGGTTGCGGCGGGAAGATCTCGGACCGCTACTACCTCCTGGCGGTGGACAAGCAGTGGCACATGCGTTGTCTGAAGTGCTGCGAGTGTAAACTCAACCTGGAATCCGAGCTCACCTGTTTCAGCAAAGACGGCAGCATCTACTGCAAGGAAGACTATTATCGGTAAGAATCGGTGGGGAGGGGGGGGGAAAGGCGAGGGGAAAGGGGGACGGGGCAGGTCTGGCCGGCGGCGGGCATGGGGTGGGGGTGGGCAAGTGGGGGCGAGGGGCTGGTGGAAACTCCCCGGCTGGGTCTTCTTTAGGACCCCAAAAGTGCTTTTTCGCGAGGCCACTGGACTTTCTCGTTTTGCTTTGAAGGCGTTTCGCTTCTCCTCCCAGAAGCTTCTTCAGCTCCGACTGGACGGTGGGAAGGATTTATACTCCTTGCAGACAGCTGGCCTTTCGCCTTCTCTTAGACTTAGAGAGTTGTTGCAGCCCTTTGGGGGTTTACCTGTGTCCTCAAGGTCACCTGGGGGGGTGTGGTTCAACACAAACATGGGGGGAAACTGAGGAAGCTTCTTGGAGGAGAAGCCAAGAAAAAACAAGAAAGTCCAGTTGCCTCCTGAAAAAGCACCTTTGGGACAACCTGGAGGGCTGAGACTCTCCGTAGGTGTCTTCTTTAGGACTTACCTGCCAGCTCACCTGTCCGGGGCGTCCCCCCCCCAAAAAAAGGCCTGGCGCTCCCGGGCGGGCTGGGAGAGAGCGAGGGGCAGCGTCCTTTCCCGCGCGTGGTGGAAGGCGCTCCCCTTTCTTATCTCCCCCCCTCCCCGCGAAGAAAGGCGGTGGAGGAACTCTGTACCTGCTCAGGTGAAGACCTCAAAGGGCGCTCTCTCTCTCTTTCTCCCTCCCCCCTTTCTCTCTCTGGATGGCAGGCGGTTCTCGGTGCAGCGCTGCGCCCGCTGCCACCTGGGCATCTCGGCTTCGGAGATGGTGATGCGCGCCCGGGACTCGGTTTACCACCTGAACTGTTTCACCTGCTCCACCTGCGCCAAGATGCTGACCACCGGCGACCACTTCGGCATGAAGGACGGGCTGGTTTACTGCCGCCTGCA